AGGTGAATCTGCCTGATGGAAAGGAAAAAAGTATGTGTCCGCCTTTCCCACACCCTCCTCCTGCTAACTTGTTTGAAAGCAGAATTTGATGATCAGCTTTGCTGGCCTCGCTTCCAGCCCCCTCCTCTTTCTCTCATGCATCACCACCATCTACCAGTGCCCAGGGAAGAGTTTCTGAGCTTGACTTTGATGAGTCTGACAGTGGCTCAGTTGGCCTCCCTGACCAGAGCCAGGAAGGACCAATGTTCAGATGTGACCCTTCCCATTGCTGGTGCCGGGACAACCAGGCTCCTCCGCCCCGTTCTCACTGCCAGGTTCACGGGGTGTGGCCAGGGAGTGGCGGTGCCTGGCACTGTCTGCACCTGGCACGTGCCTACCACCTCACTCTGTTTCTCAATGCAGGAACCATCCCATCACTCGGTGGGGACACTTGTGCTGTCACCTGAGCTGCTGACGGGCACACAGTGGGTCCCTGAGAAAGCACAGACCTGTGGCCAGATGAGAGTGAGCTAAGCTTCACCTTGCTGGGCAGAGACCCTGGGGCGACCAGGTGGCCCTTGATGGCTGCAGCGGTGAGGGAAAGGACAGTGCCCCATCTACCCTTTTATAGTCAGTCTACACCCTCCTTCTAAAAATAGCTTCACCTAATGAGACACCAGGAAAAGCAAAGCTGAGAAATTTTATACGGTTATTACTCAGGACAGGACATTAGTTGGACTGATTTATCATCACGTTTTTATAGATTCCTCTACAAATAAACAATTCTAAGATATGCTCAAATCACTGTAGCCTCTTGACTCAACATGTTTTTGCAATTACTTGGCACTCCAACTTTATGCTACTTAAATTAGGTAACAGTCACCAAGTTATTTTTAGGCCATAGCAGTGCGCGTGCATGCACACGCACACACACCACGCACACACGGCTAGACCTAGCTTATCTGTGCTCCTTTGGAAGAAGAGGCAAAATCGCCTCTTCCTGGCACCATATTTCTTTTCCATCAATAGTAATAATATCAGCGAGCTGCTCTCACGAAGCGCGTGTCAGAACGCGCTGAACGCACTTAGCTCCAGAACCGACCCAGCAGGTGGTCGCTACTGTGCTGTCCTTTGTAAAGGAAGACACCAAGGGTCGCAGGCAAGAGCACCCTGCACTAGGGCCGCACGGGGGCTGCCAGCACCACCAGTGGGAGCAGTGAGTCCGATCTGAAGTCTGCCTGCCACCTCTCCCCTTTCTGTTACAAAGCCTGCGTCTGGCGCCCAGCCTTGGGCATGAGTCAGAGGCTGAGAATATTAACAGTTAAGTTTGTGAATGTAGATAAAGCTTTCGCTTTAGATCAGAACCACTTTAAAAAATTATTTTCAATTAAAAATCTTCTGGACATCTGTGGGGGGAGGCTCTTATTCATTCTTCCTCCCCAGCAAAGGAAAGGAAAGGAAAGGAAAGGAAAGGAAAGGAAAGGAAAGGAAAGGAAAGGAAGAAAAGAAAACAACATTTTCTCTGAGTTCTGAATGTGGCTGTTCACACCCCCACCTCATTCGCAACCACTGGCAAATGTCTGTGTAAGCAGAGGACACGTGTGGTCTAGACCACAACTCGCTGGGAAGCCACAAGGGAAGTGCAGGGATACAAAAGGGACGCCCAGCATGGGCCTCTTCCCTGGGGATCCACCTCCTGAGCCATTTCCGTGCCTGCCCTTCCCCTCACCAAAACACCACTGGTCCCGGCAGCCCATCCAAAGCTGTCACTCTGGGTCAGTCTGCTCCAGGGTAGCACACAGCCGGGGGGGCCAGGGCTCTGTGACAGACACCGGGGACCCAGAACACAGCCCAGGGTGCCAGAGCCCTCTCTGCCCTCTGAAGACCACGTCCTCTGTCACTTGGGACCCTACCTTTGAAAATCACTTGGATGGAGCATGTCCTGGGTAGCTGGCAGTGACATCCAGGCTTCCTTGTAAATGAACCTTGGCACAACTAAGTTTAAAATCAAAGTCTCAGCAAACCATACTTAAATATATCCGAATGTTGTCTATGCTATAAAACATTTCAAGAAGCAAAATACAGAGAAGAGAAAGCACACAGGCAAATCACTGCTGGTTGCCAGGGATGGAGGCATTCACCCTACCCTCTCCAAGCCCTCTAAACAGCGTTATTTATGATAAAAAATCTAAAGGCATATATCGCCTTTGGAATGAAGCAGCAAATGGGCTGTCAGCACCAGGGAGGGACAAATCAATTCTTTTCCTGGGAGAGGCCTCCAGGTTCACATAGAGCTTGGGGCGCTGGTTCTGAAAGGTACAGGATGGCCTAGCAGCCTTCCTGAGTGTAGTCAGAAGCCCAGCGACAGCCCCAGGTGAAGCACGCCATAACCCTGCGAGACGCTGAGAAGCCTCAAGTATTTATTCATTCGATCGTTCTCATGGGGGTGAGCAGAGGCTCAGACTGGACACGCTTGCTCCTCAGAAGAGATACTAAGCCGGATTCTGACGCGGGTCACACGGGGCAGGAGCTGTAAATCAAAGCGAGGACGTAATCCCAGGGGCTTCCGGCGTGCATCAGCTCTTCCCAAACTGACGCAGCGTTACTAAAACAGCAACCAGCAGCCGCTCCACTTGACTGGCAGCACCAGCATGGACAGCCTGGCACGGATGGGGCAGAGCCTGGGCAGCGAGGGTAGCAACCAGTGTTTACAAACACAGCCAGGCGCTCAGCCGGGACAGGTATAAATTACCCGAGACTGCACTGAAATCCCCAGAATAAACACACCAGCCTTACATGTGTTTCCCTTATAGCCTCCCCACCCCCGCCACCGCATCCGCCCTGCCAAAGCCACTCAGCCCAAAATGGTACCAGTAACACAATCTCGGAAACACAATCTCAGATCACCAAGGGACAGGGTACCTAAAATAAACTTCACCGAGAAGCCAGGCCAGGACCGTGGACCAGACCCACACAAGCACCAGAAGCTGCTGACTGGCGGGCCTTGCTAGATGCCCCCCGCCTCGGCCTCGGTGGTGCTGTGGGACTGCTGCTAGGCTCACCCCAAAGCCCGAGCGGCTCGAGGCCCTCGAACGCCCAACCGCCAGGCCTGCTCCGGGCCAATCCGCCAGCAGATACGCAGTGAACCAAGCTAATAGGCAACAGAATGCAACTCCTTTGCACCTGAGCTATACATTTTCTACTAGATTCCTAGGTAGTTCTCAAAAAAGCCCCCCCAAAAAAAAAAATTACAAAGAATCCAACCTCTACCACCAGAGCGTCTTCTTGAACAACCGCCTCCGAGTCTCCCCAACCTGAAAATGCCCAGGCGTCCCTGCGGCCGCGCGTGGTGAGGTCAGCGCCGGCCGCCCCGCCCCACAGGGCAATCTTACCCGGGCTCCGGGGCAGCCGGCTGCCTGGCGCCAGCGGCACCCACAACGCAGTGCGAGAACCCCACTTCACGGAGGTTCCGAGACACTGTCCTCTCGCCAGGCAGGCCCAGGGCGCAATAGAGGAACAGGATCTTCCCCCCCATCGGCCCACGCTCCAGCTCAGAGTCATCCGAACTCATGTTGCTTGATGCTCTTCAGACTATGGAGACACAAAAAGCCTGCTTTTCCTCAAGAATACGGACTCGTCAGGAGCAGTGAGACCAGCAAGACCTTCTGCCGTTGTTCCCCAAGACAAGCAGTCACAAATGGAACCCTGTAGACAGTATTTCCTCACCTGAGAAGACAAGCCTGGCCAAGATTGCCCCTTGAGAACAACAGCAGGGGGAGCTGCTGGGAAGTACTAGAAGCCAACCTCATGCACAAACAGGAACAGAATACAGATCTTAAGGTGGATCCCGACCTGGGTGAGACTCCAAGGAACCCCCCAGAAAAGGTGCCTGCACTCCCAGATCTCTCCTTTGTCAAAGGCCACTCCCCTTGGAAAGACGTGGAGAATGAGATTGAGGATGAGGAGAGTGGCAAGGGCAGTGACAGCCCGGGGACCAAGGCGAGGGCACTGCATGTGAGGGGGCAGGAGCGTCCCCCAGAAGGCAAGGGCAGAATGTCACCTCAAAGACAAGGATGAACTGCCTGGCCCCCAAAGGGATGCAGCAGTTTAAACACACACAGTGATCAGGGCAGCCAGCACCCCTTGGCTCGACATGTCCGGGAGTGGCTGAGCCAGACCCCAGGAACCACTGGAACTTTGGTCAAAACCCAAGAGGAAGAGAGAAGTAAGAGGAGCTCTCTGCTACCTCTGCCCAGTAGAAGATGCCATAGTGGAGAGAAAGACACGGGGACGGTGTCGAGGACAGGCAGGCATGAGACCTCCCTGCCAGGTCAGCAGCCCTGCCACAACAAGCCCAGAGAAGGGTCTGAATTTCTCCTCAGGCTCAGCTCCTTTGACCTCAGTCATGCCAGGACCCATGGACAGGGAAAACCACCCACAACGGCCTCTGGGCAGAAGCCACAATGCCAGCTGGTGAAGCCCTAAACTACCGTGGGCTGGGAATATGTCACTAGAATGCCTCTGTCTCTTCAGAGATCAGGCAGAGGAATGGACACGGAAGAGAACTTTCCTCCTTCACTGGGCCCTTCACACAGATCTCTGCCCTTCTCAAAGGTCGCTTTAGCAACCATCCAAAAGCCAGGGAGGCCAGAGAGGGGAGAAAGCAGAACTACTTCCCCCAAAGATCAGCTCCCTCCAGGGGCCTTGCACTGTTGGCCTCTGTTCCACCCGCACTGCTAGAACTGAGAGACAGTAATGCTCACCCAGATCAGGTACGAGGCAAGGGACTGTGCAGATGACTGGCACGGGCCCTCTGTAGAGAGGTGGCCTGGCCTGACCAGCAGCACGCGTGCGTCAGAAGCCAAGGCCAGGCAAGGACTTGGACCTTCCCGCCTCCCACCCAGGCATTTTTCTTGCAGTAGCAAAACACTCCAGAGTAAGCATGGAGGTGGGCAGAAAGGCTGCAGGGGGCTGGGCATGGGGCAAGGAGAGGGGCCGGCAGGCAGGGGTGGGGGCATTACCTTTCAACACCAAGGGCTCTTTGCCTTCTCTCTTGAGGGACTCAAGGACTATGTGGAGAGGCTGTGAGGGCATCACCCGGCTGGGCTCGTTGGTGTTCTCATCGTAAACTATGATTTCTTTGGAAAAGATCCTCTTAAAAGAGTCCTTGCCTTCCCTGCAGGAAATGAGGTCCAGGACGGTGATCTTGCCTTGCTGCAGCCTCCGCCGGCTGATCTTGTCCGCACAGTTGATGTGCACCGCTCCTTGGATATGGCTCTTGTTGTACTCCATGAAGGGCCTGCAGTCGATGATGACAGGGCCCTGGCTGGGCAGGGGGCTCCTGCTGCCCTTGGTCATCTTCCTGGCCAGGTCATTGGGGTAGATGATTTTGATGCTGGCTAGCTGTTTGGGGGTCCCTGCTACAGGGCTGCCCACCCCACCTGATAGACTTAGAGAGCCTGTGTTCTCATTGTTGTTGACCATCTGGTTGGCAGGGCAGGTGGTAGAGGTTCCAACAGCAGTGGTGGCACTGCCTGCAGCAACGGCTTGGGTCTGGGCCTGACTGTCCTTGTCGTAGGCTGCCACAGTGCAGCAACTGGCACTGCTGCATCCACAATTCAGGGAGCGGGCAGAGCCGCTGGATGAGGGCATATACGTCAGATTCGCAGCCTGGAGGGACACGATGGTGGTGGCGATGACAGACCGGTGGCTGCTCCTGCTGGGGGTGGCAGAGCCAAGGTGGCTAGAGTCTAAGCAGAGGCTGAGATCCTGAGGTCGGACAGGCCTGGACAGTGCCACTACTACCCTGTCATCTAAAGGGGACGGAGGCATGAGGAGGCTGAAAGCTGGCAATTCAGGAAGAACTCAGGAGTCTGCAAAGGAGGGGAAGGGGCAAAGAATCAAGTCACCACGTGCACAAATGGCAGTCTCATCCAGTCCCTGGGGGGAGCCTTTTTTTTAAATCTCAGAATAAAATGCAAAGTGCCCTTTGTCACAGCTTCTGGAGCCTGACGCCCATTCCAATGGATCCAAAAGAATGCAGATGGGGGACCCTGTCTACCTGAGACAGAGTAGACCCTGTCTACTCTGAGGCTCCCCCAATGCTGGACTTCATGTTACTAATGTTAATGAACAACCCTTAGTGGATGGCATCAAAGTTCAACCTCTAGAAAGTGAGAGCTCAAAGAATCTGGAAAGCTGCAGAAAGAAGGCAGTTATTCTCCCAGGCAGAAGGGCTGGCACAGCAGAAGCCCCATTTGTGTACCCTCTCGGAGGCTTGCCATTTCGTTCCTTCTCCCACTGCAATTCAGAGATGACCAAGAGCACTGGCCAGACTCAGAAATACACGGCAGCTAAATATACCTCAGGCGGATGTCAACTTTCTACAGATCAGAGTGAAAGGCTCCCGGGAGAGAACTGGCTTAAGGAGGGGTTCTTCTTGCTCCCCATCCTTGGGGTCATCTGAAAACCACAGCAGAGTCACTAGCCCCTCGTGTGTTTTCTGATACCCGCTTAGGGATGTCCTCTCCGGGCATTTCCCCTTCGTGCTGCCACCTGGTACGTCAAAAAGAAGCCTCAAGCTGGTGCAGGAGCCAGGCCTGGAAACTGAACCCTGGCAGGTCTGTCGCCTGCCGATGTCCTGCCCCTGCCACACTCACCTGGCCTCTGAGGATGGGCCGAACTCCTTGGCTTTCCCTGCCCTCTGGTCTCCCACCAGCGCGAAGCAGCCGCACTGTACAAGGTTCAGCCCCACACTGCCAAGCCCCTAACACCCGGAGTTGCTGCCCAGGGCTCCCTGGTCTCCTCCAGGGAGCCTGCAAAGGGTAGGAACAGCCCCTGCCCCTGGCCGCTGTGGGCAGTGGACTCCTGCGTGGCCCTGCTGCTATCAGACATGGACCCAACCATGAAAGCAAACCTGAAGCAACAGAGGCTCACCTCAGCGAACTTCAAGAGCTGCCTGGAAAATGTCATCTATCATCCGTCTACACACGACCGCCATCACTCTCTGACACGCAGCCAAAGTGTCACAGGCGGAATCCACACACGCACCGCGGGGCGCACGTACCCACCGACTCGGGTTTCAAACAGCACCTCTGGATGGGAGCTGAGACCCAGCCTCCCGCCTCCCTCCCCACCCCCTTACGTAGTATTTTTTGGAGAAGGAGTACTATTCCAGCAGGGGCAACTGTTTCGCAGCTGAACCGGGCTAGCGGCAGAAGCTTGCCGTGGTGGTACGCGGGGCTCGTTCTGGTCCAGCTCTCCAGGCTCTCCTCGAGGACGCACACGCGGCCCTGCTCCCCGGACGCCCAGGACCCCCGCCTGTGCCAGCGCGCGGGATGGGCTGCATCCCTGCAGCAGAAGGACAGTGTGCGCGGCGCCTGGAATCACCGGCCCGGCCTGGCAGCCCTGGCCCGAGGACCTGGCTCGCCAGGGTAGGGCCGGGAAGAGAGCCGGCGAGCGGAGAACGTCCTTCCCCACTCGCGGCACCCACCGCCCGGTCCTCGCCACTCAGCGCGCTCGCACGCCGGCGACCAAACTGCCGCAAAGCATCCCAGCAAGCCCGGCTCCCTCCGGCCAGGCAAGGGGACCGCAGCGTGGGCGCGTAGGGCCCGGGCAACACCCCACGGTCCTGCGTCCGCGCTGCTCCCCTCTGCTCCTCGCGTGCGCACACACACGCGCGCACAGTCACACGCACAAACAAACACGCACACACACACACCGCCCTGCGTGGCCGCGGGACTTGCACTTACTTTCGCTCGGCGCAGCGGTGCACTGCCGGGAGCTGCGCCTCTGCCGTGATCCCGCGCGGGCCGCCCATTCACTCGGCTTCATTGATCTCCAGCAGCAACATAGTTACTTTCTCTTTTGCTACACTGTAAATGTAAGATTCGGAGGGGGAGGGCCGGTCGCCGACCGAGACCGAGTTAGCCAATCAGAACCCGGAGAAGGCGGACCGCTACTTCATCGAGACCGGCGGCCAATGGGCTTTCGGGGGCGTGTCGGAGGCGGAGCCTCACGGCGTTTGGGCGGGCCTGTGGCCGGCGCCCCGGGCCTTGCTGCCGCGACTCGGGCGGTGATGTCATTGGCAGCCAATCAAAGCCTAGAAAGGGGCGGCGGGCCGGCAGGCAGCTGCTCTCTATTTACCCGGAAGCCAGGCCGCCCGCCATTAACCCTTTCCGGCCCGGGGTCTGGACCTGTGGTCGCTTGTGATGAAGCTGGTTCCCTCCAATCGCTGGGCCTCCGAGATCCCGCATCCCGCGGACACCCGTACCCGCGGACTCCCAGCACCACAGGAACTCGGCACTTCCGCACCCACAACCGAGCCACTCCGCACCCGAGGATAGCGGGCGCATCCGTTTTTCCTCCAGACTCAGGCAGAAGATGAGAGCCGAAGGGCAGGTTTTCAAAGGCGAGACCGTGGCCCCTCTCCGTCCCCCGGGGACTGCGGGCCCGCAGGTATCGCTGCCAGTTCAGCTGCCCGAGTGCACCGCAGGGCTGCAGCGCGGGCCTCCAGCTCCGCCGCTCAGCTGCCCCGGGCAGAGCCGGCCTTCAGCTTGGTGCCTGGGCAGGACCCGAGCACTGCCGCCTGGTCCCCCACCCCAGGACTGCTCAGCGTAGGAGCCCCAGCACGGCCCTTCCTGCACCGAGCCGTCTTTCGGTCCCCCCCGCTGCCACCACCACCAGCAGCAGCAGCACACACACACACAGCTCGCCCCAGGACGGCCTCCGAGAGCCTGTGGATCGGGATCAGGCCCGAGCCTAGGGTCTCGAGCCACGCTGAGCCGCTGGAGCCCGTGGGCCAGGCGACCCCGCCTCGCTTCTGCGGTTCCCGGCTATGGCCAGCAGAGGGGTCGCAGTGCTTCAGACGAGCAGGCAGTGGCCCTGGTCCTCTAGGAAAACCTAGGGACTCTACCAGGAGGCTGCCCTGGAGACCGAAGGAGTGGCAAAGGCACTGGAGTCTACACTCCAAGATTCTTACAGAAACAGCTGGTCCTGCCCCACTCCTGCTCAGGGCTCCAGCTCTGCTCCAAGAGACAGAACACGAAATAATTACAGGGCAGTAATAGTTCTTAGCGCTGTGGGTTTCTCCCTTCCTAATGGCAGGTATCTGAAGGCTTACTTCAAACTCAGGCCTACTAAATATGCTAAGTGAGCCGAAGTCAGAAGGCACCAACCACAGCTGGCCAGATGTACTCAGCCTAGATGTGGAGAAAGCCTGGAGCACCACGCGTGTACGCACATGCCTGTGTTGCAGCACGCGTTGTCACACACAGCGAGGGTTTGGGTAGCACCCATACCTGGCACTCACACTCTCGTTCCAGCGGTCTTTGTCCTCCCCCTCCAGGAGGGTCCTGGCTGCTTTCCACAGAGAGCAGCAACGAACTTCCCAGGGGGCCAAGCAAGGGGACTTGAGGAGCTGAAAGGCTTCATCCCCTTTCCTTCAAAAATGTTCACTCACTCAGGACTGCAGAATTCTGAGTGTTGGTTCTGACTCCATTGTTCATTTGTTTATCTATAAGACAGTAAGAGTCCAGCTCAAAAGCAAAAGGAAAGCATAGCTGTGCGGACCCGGGGAAACAGACTCCTTGTTGACAGAAGGCCCTCAGTGAAGGGCTACTCGCCTGAGGATCCGCGTGTGACTGACTCGTTCCTTCAGCCGCCATAGCTCTGCCCCAGTGCAGGGATGTGTGCAGCTGTGGGAGAGGTCTTCTGCTCCAAAGTCTCCTAAGGGGAAGGTGACTTCAAAACAAAATGCAGCTCATTTCATGGGGCAATTATTTCATAGTACTTTCAAGTCCTGGTTACAATAATTCAGTTAAATAAGAATCTAAATCATCCAGGCTGAAAACTTGAGGAAGATGGCAGATTCCTCATCAGTTATAGGACATGTAATATGAAATAACTGCCAGATCGTAGGTGCATATGCAGATGTAATTATTTCTTCAGTTAAGCATTTCTTTGTACATTTATGTTCAAATTATAGAGTGGCAGAAAAATCAGATCATATGAAAGTTTTGTTGCAGGCACTGCTCTCTGAGTTCCTTCTATACCAGCAGTGATGATTTAGCTTGCTTCTGGGTCCAGTTAGGCAGTGAACAAGCCTGCCTGCAGGTTTACATTTGCAGTGCATCTAGCCAGTGGCCAGGAGCCTGATCTGGGTACCAATAATCAGCAGTCTCCGTGAGCATATTTAGTTGCAGAAAACCACAGGGCATCCTCAGCCTGTCTGGGGGCTGTGACAATTGCTCTGGGCTTCAGCTTTGTTCCTACAAATCTCTCAAGCAAAAGGGCGATGCATTGCTGTCAAGATAGCTGGACTAGGACTTGGGCCTGGGGTAAGAGGTAGAGCAGATGGTGTCAAACAAATGCATTATTTAAGTTACTTTCCTGTGTACACTCAAGTGCGGAAGCGTTTGTGAAGATGTCTCCAAACTACTCCTCCTCGAGGTCAAGATAGATTTCAGAAGATTCTAGAATTACAGCAGAGAGAGGGTTAGAGAAAATTTAGCCGTCTTAAGTCCCAGGATAGAAGACATTAAGTCAGCAAGAAGTGGGGGACAAACTGTGGTCACTGTGGTTGGAAAACTGTGGTAGCAGCAATGAGGTCACAGGGGTCAGGGTGAGGCCATCGAGGTCAGGCTATGGTCACCGTGGCCAGCCCCAAGAGCTGTCCTGCAGCAAGCTCCAGGCCAAGGAAGGAAGGATCAGGGGGAAGGGGGAAGCAACTGCGGGCAGCAGCGTCAGGTGGCAGGGCGGTCCTGGACGGGAGGCGGAAGGGGTTCCTCCCTAAGTCCCCGTCCTCTCTGCCACGTGTGCATATGTGAAGGTGCTCAGAAGAAGCAGAGACCAGACCGTGGCCAGGCAGGGCAATAGGCCAGTCACACCTTCCTCTGGGACTTCTCAGCTGCTGGAACCCTGGCACATAAAAGTCTGTTCTGTGTGAGATACTTGGTCACAGTGGGGTGAGAGGTCCTCCAGGAAAGGATGGAGGCAAGCCATGTGCTTTGTCACTGTCCACAGCACAAGACCAGAGACCTGAGGTCCTACCCCAGGCCGCCTGCAGGTCCTGGGCCACGCACGCTCTGTGTCCAAGTGTCCGATGTGCAGCCATGTGTTGGGTTGGTCTGCACTGAGAGGCGCCTTGAGGTTCAAGTACCACACAACCCGCTGGATTTTGTAGATTTCATATAAACACGTAAAATACCTCAGTTATTTTATATTGATTAATTTAATATTGCTTATATTTTGGATATATCAGGCTAAATATTTATAAAATGAATTTTACATGGTTTTTACAGAGCATATGCTTATTAGAAAACTTTCAGTGACACAATTTGTCTGTTTCTTTTGGACAGCAGAACCTGTCGTTGCTTCTTGGCCAGAGCCACCAGAACCACAGAAGGCTGGGTCTGGTTGGGTCTTTAGAGCCTGTCTAGGCCACTGCTCTGTATACTGGGTCAGGGTGAACCAGAGGGACAGGACCTCCAGGCAGGCGACCCCTCCTACAGTCCAGCCCCTCCATCCTGGACAAGGACACGTGAGTTCAGTGCGTCATTCGTGGGGCTCCCCAGGAGACCTGCTGCCCTTTGGCTCTCATCCATGGTTCTCAAGGTGCCAGCTATTCCTGTAGCTGCACAGAATGTGATGCCCAGAGACGGAGGCAAGGCGCCCCAGCTGCACTTGGCCTCAGGGTGCGGCTTCCAACCTCTCCTTGAAGTGTGGCTAAAGCCAGGCATGGTAGTGCACGCCTGGAACCGCAGCACTCTGCAAGCCGAGGCAGGAGGACCCATGGCGGTGCAAGGCCAGCCTGGACCACATGAGGAGACCCTGTCTTACAGAACAACAACAGCAACAATGAAGCACGGCCCTGCTTTCCCCAGTGAGCAGAAGAGACTAACCTGTGGAGACTCCCAAGCTTCCTGTACTCATGAAACCAAGCAGATGTCCCTCCTGGGCAGCTGCTCCTGCTATCTCCTCCTCAACTGACCTCAG